TGTTGTTGGTTAGGCAACTCGGAACCTTTGGTATAGGGGTTCCTTGCCAGTGTGTTCCAACTTTTGTTGCTTTGTTGGGGGGTGTTGTTGTTCCTTTTTGGTGTCTTGGGGGGTCTGGGGGGACTCCTGCTATATTGGATTTTATCCCCCTGTTCGACAGCTCCCTTGCTCTTTTGGAGCGTGTGCACATCCCCAGGGAGGGGGGTTTCGTTAGTTGTTGATTAACAACAATATGTTGTTATATATATGATATATATATGTAGGTCTTTGGTTATTCGGGTTTTCTCCCGTGTAAAATTGGAAGTGTCTTGGCGACGTTTCGACGAAGTCCCATTCGTCATCTTCAGGCTGGTGTTTTCGGCTTCGTGCTTCTAGGAGCAATGTGTGATCGCAGCTGTTTCTTCCTTTTAACTACCAGTGGGGGTATGAACTGATTGGGTGGGAGCTTGGCTGTGTTCTGATTGGGTGGGAGAACACACCCCCATCCAATCAGAGTACAGCCAACCCCCCCATCCAATCAGAGCACATCCAAGCCCCTAACCAATCAGAACACACCTCCACCCAATCAGAACACAGCCAAGCTCCCACCCAATCAGTTCATACCCCCACTGGCAGTTAAAAGGAAGAAACAGCTGCGATCACATATTGCTCCTAGAAGCACGAAGCCGAAAACACCAGCCTGAAGATGACGAATGGGACTTCGTCGAAACGTCACCAAGACACTTCCAATTTTACGCTGGAGAAAACCCGAATAACCAAAGACCTACATACAAACATCCACGAAAACCTCAGAAAACACACACACACATATATATATATATATGATTCTGCCATTAAACACAGAAATTCTACAGGACCAATAAGCAGTTCCAAATAACCATATATATCACTAGAAACTGAGCACAAAAGTTTATAATTACTTGAAAAATATAAGAGTATATGAAATGAGCTTGGATGATGAGTCCTAGAATTCTCTACCCAGCAAATCTGGAAGGAAGAATCCAAGTTGGGAAAAGCTGGATAGCAATCAGACTTGGTGGAGGAAGACCTGCCATTTGTATGGCTGGTTCTTCAGGCCTTCTGATTATCAGTGAGCAACTAGTTTTTCTAAAAAATTTTTTGTATAGGTAGTCCTCTATTTACAACCACAGTTGAGTCCAAAATCTCTGTTGCTAAGCAAGACAGCGATTAAATGAATTTTGCCCCATTTTATGTCCTTTCTTGCCACAGCTGTTAAGTGAATGATTGCAGTTGTGAAGTTAGAAACACTGTTGTTAAGTGAATCTGGCTTCCCCATTGACTTTGCTTGTCAGAAGGTTGCAAAAGGTGACCCTGGGACACTGCAACTATGATAAATATGACGAGTGTCTGAATTTTGATTACGTGACCCTGGGATGCTGCAATGGTTGTGTGAAAAATGGTAAGTCATTTTTATTTTCAGTGCTGTTGTAACTTTGAAGGGTCACTATATGAACTGTTGTAAGTTGAGGACTAATTGTAGTAAGTTTCTTCTACAGTGAACTACTCATCAGATTTATTGTCCCAAAGGCCATTAGTCCTCCATGTCTGTTTTGCATCCAGTGGGCAAATGGGAAAATCATGTGGTATCTCTCAAAGAAGTGGATGTGGTTTTATGATCTGATTACCAGTTTCTGCATTAAGTATCATTCTTTTTTTATGCATGGCTCAATTTTCGCAACACATATTAATTGCCTGTCATCCACACCCACTCTGGCCACGCCCACCCTGGCCGTGCCTAGTGTGCCACACCCTCCCAGTGGGCCACGCCCACCCAGTGGGCCTTGCCCACCCAGCACCCGGCGATACATAAGTGGGTTTTGGGTTGCAGTTTGGGCATTCGATCTCTAAAAGGTTCGCCATCGCTGCTCTAGCCTCAATAAACTTAATGCTGTACCTCTATGTCACCACTAGATGTCCTCAGATGTCCATTTTCCAACACTTAAAATGAACAATTATTTTCGCTTTAGTGTTTCTTGAATTTCATCCCAGTATTCTTTCCAAAGAGAAAACCCTTAACAGATTTCTCAATTTTGTGATTTGTCAATGTTCTGTCTTGTAGAACTTCCACTTTAGTATTAAATTCTTCTTTGTTTTTTCTCCCCCATAAACCAGGGGTGTCAAACTGCCAACCTGTGGGCTGGATGCATCATGCTGAATCTGTGCCCACCCCATTGCCGGCAATGGAAAAAAAGTTGTGATATGTTGTGACACATCACATGACGTTGCGAGTTTGACACCCCTGCCATAAAGGATTCACCCTTTTTTTTCCTCTGGAAGGGGGGAGCAAAAGTCCCCTTCCTTCTCACACTTGGGGATTTCTTGTTTTATGGGAGTTTGTCTTATCCAGGAGTCAAATATTGAAATAGTAGAGAAAGGATTAATAATCTCACCCAGTTTCACGCACATTGTATAAAATGCTGATAATGCTGGTGTTTTCTTTATTCGGTTGTCAATGGCTTGGGATAGCCACAGAAGTGCAGCTAGCCTTTCCCCTGCTGGTTTGGAGGGCTTTTCTCAGATCAAATGGATTGACCGCTGTCTTTCCGTGATCTATGAGGGTCCCCTCCTTCATCGCCTCTCTGGGGTGACTTTAGGCCCATTTGGAGCCCCCTGGTAGGGTAAAATCAGCCGTGGAAAGTGGAGCCCCGCTTTCCTTTGGCTGCAACGCCATGACACCTGAACTACTCGTTAAGACGCATTCTAAGTGCCATGTTTAACTTTGTACTATGAAGAGTTTGTGTCAATTTTTGTTCACATAGGAATTCATTGAATATACATTTTAATTTAAATTGTTGCATATAACTGTGACTGTTTAGTTGGCTATGAAGATTATTTAGGTCAAAGATAAAAATAAAAAAACCTTTTCCAACCTACACCAGTTTTATTGTATGTTATGCTTGTTTTTCAATAATTCAAACATAGAAATGAATCGTATTTAATTACTGGTTTTATTTTCTATCCTCTGGCCTGCAATTCAGTGACTGAATCCATTTTACTATAAATTGTTTGAATTTATTCCTAGATTTTCATTTAATTTCTGCTTCACTATAATTAACATTAGGGAAATGTGATATGGAATATGTAACTCATTATTTTCAGGAACTGTCACTGATTTCCTAGGGACAGAAATTTTTATGATATAAAATGCAAATAGTTCAAAATGAATTATATTCAAAGGAGCTTTTGACCATATTGTAGATGTTGTACACGGTATATTTCAAAATGGTCTAGATAAGCTCATTTTGCATTTGGCCTCTTCACTCTTAATTCAAATATTGGTCCACAAATAAATTTCAGCAGAGGTGAATTTGGTTCTTTTCTCTATTGACACTACTGTGCGCTCAATGAAATAGCCTATGAGACACGGATAGAATGGCATTTTAACATTCTCTACCATCCTATTACTTATCTATCATTATTCGATTATTTCAAGTGAATTGATTGTTTTTTCTAAAAAAAAACCACAATGGACATTTATGACATTGAGACATACAGTACATGCAAATGGAAATGGTGCATTCATGATTCATCAACATAAATGTTCTAAATAACTTTGTTTATCTCAATTTCAGCAACCCCTCCCCTGAATAAATAGATTGCAACATGAAATATTGAACACTTGTTCTAATTCCTATGCTTAATTCAAGAAAAGAATTGGTAATTACCTTGAAGTTTTTTATGGGGGTAGCAATAATCCATTATTTTTTTAACCATCATTGAACAAATAAATGTTTCTTCTGTATGGCTAGCAGCTACTTCCCATTTTTTCAGTTCCTTTGTATCACTGTGTGACACTGCAAATGTTTTCAGTTTCACTTCCTTGAGCTGCCCAGCACTCCCACCAGCTGGCCAAGAGCACTAAAATGGCAGCTAGCCAGCACCCTTTCCTTATTCTTCCTTTAATCATTTAAAAACAAACAATTGTGGGGATATGGCAAAGGTGCTTTCAAGCCATAGAAACAATGTGGGGAAAACAAAACACAGCAGCACTTTTGTTTGGGGGAGGAGGGGGGGGAAGCCCAGGGGCCGATTTGTTGCAGGACTACCTCCCAATGTGGAATCACCATTCCACAACCACAGTGGAAGGCACAGCAAATCTATCAGTAAAGGGAGTTTGCTAGAAGCCCCACAGCATTGTGTCACACATAACAGCACCCCAGAATTTTGATTGCTGTCTCTCTTTTAATCTACTGAACAATATTTTTACATACATATTAACATGGCCATTCATGTCTCTTTCATATCTTTTGGTCCCTTACACAAAGCAGATCGATCCTTTTCTTAAAGTATTAAATTTGAATCTCTCCTGTTTTTTTAACTAAGGGGCACCTCTTTTTTATTTTTACAGTATTTGTGGTAACATGAAGCTTTCTTAGCACCGGTGTATCCGTCAGTTTTTCACCTGATCTTCCCAACTTGCTCTGCACTTGAAGTTTCCCCAGGCGCTGTCAGCTTGCCCGGCCCACGCAGAGCCAGTGAGATAAGATAGGCACGCATAGGGAAATGGTGGGGAAAACTTTCCAAGAAAACAGTGATTAAAGATTCAGAAGTATTTTCATCTAAAGAGACCCAATACCGATGAGGGAGAGCCGAGGGCCTGAGAGACATGAGTGGGCGAGTAGATGGGCCGGATCCAGGCACTAGCCTGGAGCGGCTGAAGGGGCGGGAGCCAGGATTTTGTAGGGAAAGGGAGAGCCGGTTGGTCTACCAAAGGGAGCAGCACCCCTTCGGAAGAACCCTCGCTCGCTCCTTTCCTTCAGTCGACTCCCTCTCTGGGACCGTAAGTGAGAGGCGCTCCGTGCTCCTCCCGTTGAGGGAAGCTGGAGTTCCAGGAAGTATCGTAGTCGATAGGCGGGCAGGATGGCTTGGGCGCCGAAAGCTCTGCTCGCGGTCGATCCCTCCATCTCGGAGCCAGGCTCCTTCCTTGAGGCGGGGCGGTCTTTCGTCTCAGTCCCCTTTTATGGAGGAAAGGAAGGAAGGAAATAGGGAGGGGCGGAAAGAACAGCAGCGAAGAGGAACCTCTTCTATACTGGGGTGGAGAGAGCGAGCGCGACGGCGGCTCCTCGCGGGAACAAAGAGGCGCGAAAACGCGAAGGCTGAGAGGAAAGGGGGCACTCTTCGTCTCGCTCCAAGGGCCGCGGAGATGGTGAGTTCTGGGAAAGGGAAGTGGAATGATGTTGATCGCGAGTAGCCTCTCTCGACTCTTAGCACCTAGAAGCGGTGCTTCGCGCCGGGCCGCAGTGAGGCTCTGCGGTGGCCGTGTGGACGCTCCCCTGGGATAGTTCTTTCTACAGCGGCTAAGTCGGTATTAGCGACTCCAACCTTGGGTCGTCCACCTTTGGTAACGAGACATCGCCACTAAACCCTGGTAGAGTCGGCATTAGCCCTCCAGCGGTCTCCTGGCAAGGCGTGTGTTTCCCGAGAAAAGGCAGGGTCTTGTATCGCCACTTGGTTATGGAGGTAGATTTGGTCTCTGTCGCATACTGAGCAGCACATCACTATAACGCATCCTAGGCACGTACGGGAAGCCATAATTTTAATTTACACTGTCCAGGTTTTCAAAAGCACAGCTGTTTTTCCTGTTATATTTGGTTCCATTATTTTAGCTGTTGCTTTGTCTTCACCCAAAATAAAATATTAATATCTTTCCTATAGGCATTGGAAGCTGTTTGAAGGGTTTTCCCTAGATTATTTAGCCTTGGAATGAACTCTTAATGAAGTATCTTAGTGAAGTATCTATTTGATGTTTCCCATCAAATCTTCAGGCATCATCATCTTGTCTCAATGTTAGCTGTTGTCCTGTGCTAGGAACCTTCTGTTACTGGCTCATGTATATAATTGTATTTTAGAATGGATAACTGAAAATAATTTAACATCTATCTATACAATAGATGTATTTAAAGTAGCTTTCCATTGAGAATAATTTAATTTTTATCAGACTGCTGAAAAATTAATCATTTGCTGAGTGTGTTTAGATTTCTGTTAATTATTGCTCTTGGAATTCTCATCAGAACCCATATTGATGCCTTATTGGAATACTATATAATGTCTCCAATAGCACATCTATCTTTTTCTCTTGGATGAAAGTTTGATTAGCTTCCCTAATTTTTCAATGTGAATTTTAAGAGATAATTGTTAACTACTGTATAGCATGTTGCTTCTGGTAAAAGAATGTCTTTTTGTTTTTATATCAAAATTTGATGATGATCCAGCTGTCTTTCTCATAATTGCTTTCCTATTTACATTGAATTTTCACATACTGTATACAGATTTTAAAATATTTGCTTATTACATTACTTTTGTTATGGAAAGGACTTAAATTCCGTATTTGAAAATATGAAGACAGATGAAGATTGGTAGGAGCTGTAATTAATATGGACTGTGTAAACTTAGAGTTTGAAGTTAATGATACTGTGATCTTGGCCATTATATTTTCCTCTATTGAAAGGCATAACAATCCTTTTTTTTTTTAAAGAAAATTTTATTAATTTTTATAATTGAACATTAAGTAATATGATGCATTTATAACACAAACATACACAAAAAAACACAATCCAATTCAATACATTATCAGAAACGCTCAGAGGTTCCCGACCTGCCTCCGCCCTCATCCACTTACCTTTCCTTCCTACCTCTAACCCACAACCTCTCCTCCTTCCTCCTTCCCCTTCTACATCCTCCCTCTTCCTGACCACCTCAACGAGTGCAAGCCGGGATACCAACCGAGCACTTCCTCTTATCAATACAATTATAACATATGAATACATCACTTTTTGTTTCAATACTTCTAACCCCCTTCCCCCCCTGAGCTTCCCGGAATCAAATACAGGACTTAAAACAAATCTTTCCAAATCTAACTTACAATTTAACTAAACAGATATAATACTAACAATATATACCTACTTTAACTCTAATAAGGCAATTATTA